GAATTTGACCATGAATCTAAATTTGAAATAATTTCTAATTAATGTATTTTCGTTGTTCGGCATCAAATTTTACTTGTCAAATGTAATTTTTCCATAGCTTGAGTAAGATGACCAGCTGAAGTTAATTGTTCAATTTTATGACGAGCACAAACAAGTTTTATTTGATGTTTAATAGCTTGAAGACGTGCAACAATATAAACGTGGTTTTTTCCAAATAAGATTTCATCATTAACCTTAAAAAAAGAAAAAATAGTTTTAAAAAAAAAGGAATAAATGTTTTTTACTTGCAAAATTATATCACCAGGTTTTAATATTCCTTCTTTTCCGATAATTCCATCAGGTAAAACAATATTTATACAACCAAAAGTACCAATTTCTCGATCATCTTCAATATTAGCGATGCCTTTAAGTGATATACCAAAACAACCGTTATCCGGTTTATAAATATCACTGATGTAAATATCATATTTATTTCCAAAAATCCTAAGCCGTTTTTGACGTAGGAACTGTTCGGAAATAACGTGTAGAGATGGGCAATTCTGCATCAGAATCGAAATTAGTGATTCTGATTCCGATTTCAATCCCAAAAAATATCATACAGCCGATTCTAAGGGTGTGGGTGGGTGGGTTGTGGTGTGGGTGTGGGTGTATTCTTGCCCACAGCCATACCCACACCCACACCCACCCATACCCACACCCACGCCAACACCCACCCACACCCACAAGTACAGTTACCACTATGTTAGCGTTTTTCTTGTCCAGATAGATTTTCTTACTTGTATTGATATTCTGATTGGTTGTGTTAGGTGCAGAAGTTCATTTTTTTCGATTAGTTCTATTTTCAGTAATAAGTCATCATGTAAATAATGAAATTTTGATGTGAATAACGATGTCCGCAAAGTGTAGGAGGGTGACGAAGGGGTCTAGGTATGGATGTGGCTGCTGGTGTTGCATTTGTCTTTAATTATACTCACACTCACAGCCAGTGTCTTTTTCCTAATAAAGGATAGTAATGCGTTACAGTTATCAAAAGAAAACTGTTTCAGGCATGTTTATTTGAAATGAATAAGAATAAAAATACAAAAGTATAATAAACTTATCGTGACTATAGTATTAACTTATTCTTAACTATTTATATAATACCTATAATTTTCTGATACAAACTCCATATGGACGAATATCTTTCTCACTAGGACTAACCCAATATTCACCTACACCAGTTCGATCAGCTGATATTTTTATCAATGCCGTTGGATTAACACGATTTTGTAATACAACTAAATAATTATTACCTTTGAATGAAAACTTTTTTGCATATTTTGTTGCTACATTTATATCTGGAGTTGAATATACTCCATGCCCATATGCAAATCTTTTTCCTTTTGATAAATCAAAACCATCCATTGCTATAGTTCTAGCTTGATGTTTACCAGTTCCATGATATGATACAGGCCATTCATCTGTATTGTTAGTTTGACCTAACCATACTAAGTCTTCATATTTATCAGATACTTTAATGGCATAACGTTTCCATCCACAAGGACGAATATATTTTTCTCCACCTCGTGTAAATTTTTTATTTTTATCTTTTATATTTGTAAAATCATAATCGTAACGTGGATCCATAGTTGATGAATCCAGAATTGCTTCATGACCACCTCGCAAGCGAAGCACTAGATGTATTGTGGACTCCTTCTGTATATTATAATCAGTTAATGTTCTACCATTTTCTAACTGTTTTCCAGCAAATATTAGACGCTGTTGATCGACAGGTATGCCTTCTGCGTCTTGTAATACAGTTTGGACTTCATCCATAGTTTCATTTGGAAGTACTACCAAGGTAAGAGTCTGGCCAGTTAATGTTTTTATAAATATCTGAATCGATTTATCCGGCATTTTTTGCGCGTTTTTTGAGAACCATATTCCATCTATCTTAACTGAGGACAAAGAAACACTTTCCCTACCATCTGTCATATGTGTTATTGGGTTTTCTGTAACTGATGATATGTCACCAACTGGACCGGTTAAGTATGTTTTATCATGATAATCAAATAGAGAAATTTTATGTGTTGAGTCGGGATTTTTAGTGGACGGTTGTACATTGATGCCTATGATTGCTGACATTGCAGCTGCTAATAGACTTTCAGAATCTTGAATATTTATTGTCGATACTGTGGCAGCCATTATGAAGAAGCTTTCTAAAACAAATCGTTTTATAAATTATCAAGCACGACAAAATGAACACATCAATAACAATATTTGCTATTAATCAAAGCTATGGTCTGAAAAAGATTAACGTATAAATAGTTGGTATGTTACGATTGAAATGATATTTTCTGTAATGTTTGTGAACTACGTAGCTATTGAGCGATGAGGAACCAGAAAGTAGCTACGTGATTTGTATGATCATCTTGAGATTCAAGCGTTGAAACAAAGTTCTATCTAACACTGGAAGAAAAATATTATGAAAACGAGAAAAGTTCATTTCTTACTGATGATAACTTATCACCATGTATTATAGAAAGGCGAACGGAAAAAGCAGAAAAAAAATCGTTGAACTATGTGTGACAAGAAAAAATTGAAAACAAATTATCTAGCTACTCACGAAAACTGAGTATAAAAAAGAAATGATAACAGGGAATTCGATCTAACTGATCCATATCAAGCATCTATCTTTATTTTCCAAACAGACACAAAATATATACGAACGCCGTAGACAACATCAAAGATAGTGCGAAAAAAGTCAGAACAACAAGGAAAACTACCAGAACAAGTGAATGTTTGAAAAATACCTTCCAGTCAGACAAGCATAGATCCACGAGAAATAAAAGCTATCCTGTTTTACTTTTTCTAGAGGATTTCAAATTTCAATTTATAATATATATTCTATTAATTCCTTTATTACCTTTAATCCATTTACACCTTTCATTCCTTCAGGCTCTTTAGATCTTTTAGTCTCTTAAGGCCACTCCCCTGCCCCGCCTCTCAAAAATCGATCTCAGCTCTGGAACATGGAGATGGCATGAAACTTTGGGGATATGTTGAAGGTGTAAAAGTACGTCTGTGGTAAAACTTTCAGCCTCCTATCCTGATGTCTGAGGTAGATACAAACCAAACAAGTTTCGAAAAATAGCTTATTGCATCCCAAAAATTCTCTATGGATGTTCATTCAATTTGGTTCATTGTTTTTTCGTATGAAAGAGCATGCCAGGATGCAGTGCCTATGAGAGCTGTTTTTTTAAAATTCTTATCTTTTATAAGAAAAAAAAGGTTCACAAATTCAATCACTCAAAAATTCCTCGAAAAAATTATGCTTATATTATTAAGTCGCTTTTCAATATAATAATAAGAAAGCTTTATCAAAAAAAGAGCCCTCATAGGCACTGCATTCTCACATACTCTTTCAAACACAAAGAAAAATTTGACTTTATATCGGATTATAATTGACTTTCGGTGGAGATGCGTCGTTCGACTACAACTCGAAGAAAAAAAGAAAGATACTTTTGAATTTTTTTAAAAAATGCTGGTTTTTTAAATAGGAGTTGTCAAAAATCTTTAAAATTTTTCGGAAAAAATGAGGTACCGAAGAAAAAGTTTTATCTTTTATATCAAGACAAATGGCAAACTATACTCTTATGTATTTATCTCAATTTTCATGATTCTGACAAAAGTGACGTTTTTGAGGAGGAGGTTTAACGAAAAAGGATATTACATTTTCGATAATGAGAACGCTTTAAAACATGTATTTTAACGAATTTTTTTGGGTTAGTTTCATTTTAATGCGAAAACATACGTGAAACTTCGTTAAAATACATATTTTAATGCGTTTTCACCATAAAAAAGGTAACATCTTCTTTCGTTAAATCATTAAATTTTTATAAACTTTTACATGGGCAGACTCGATCGGATTGATGGAATTCAGTCCAAGAATACCACACAGAAAAAAACTAAATCATATTCACATACCACTCAAATACAGACATCTATAAAAAAAAGAATGCATCGAACGTAACACAGAAAACATCATACTACACGAAACATGTGCAGAGGAGAGATAACGGCATCGGTCAGACAGGTAGAGTTATCCTTCGTGAATCTTGCTCTATGTGATTTGTTTCCTCCTCTTCAATCGAATTTTTATACCCATTAGACAGAAAGAGAAAAAAAGAGTGATTCATAATTAAAACATCAAAAGTAAAGATGTGAAGATGGAAAAAACCCAACAATTCTGAATCATCATTACCTATGCATTAAAATAAAATGTGTGAATATTTTATTTGAATGTATAGGTAATGATGATTCAGAATAATTGGGTTTTTTTCTGCCCATGGAATAAAAAATGGAAAGAAATGGCGACTTTCATGTAAAAAGAATGAAAAAAATGACATTTTTCATAAAGAAAAGAACATAATCATGCATGTTTTTTTATTTTCATTGATTAAAATGAAAGTTTCACAAATTTTATTTTAATGGATGAAAATAAAAACATGAATGATTATGTTCTTTTCATTATGAAATATGTCATTTTTTTCATTTTTTTTATTCCCTGGCCATTAATATAGAATAATTATGAAATAAAAATAATATTTAACCATTTTGAAGTCTTCGTGCATATATTATACTAAACTAAAACATAGAGAAGTAGTCTTAAAAAATAAATCTCTGAAAGTTTTATTTTAGATGAATCACCATTCAGAGAACTTTTTTACATTAATCGTTCACCCATTCGAGATCTAAAATAATACGTACTTCATTTTTACTTTCAAATTTTTTCATAAATTTATTAGTTATTTTGTATTTTTGCGTGAAATGATTTTCAGAACTTCTTGAATTATAATATGATTGACTTGTTATTGATGAACTACGTAATACTTAATGCTTTATTTCGATGAAAAATAATCCAATTAAAATATTTATATATTTCTTCACATTGACTTAAATCAATTTTCAATGTTCCTAAGAATTATAAAAGAAAAATAAAAGAAGGAAGATTGTGATAGTTTGAAGAATAACCCGGGTCGATCAAAACGGGTACCCGTTACGGGGTCGCTTTCGGACAGTAAACGATGAAAAAACTAGCAGTGGGCAGATTTCCAAAAAAGGAAATTTCCTTCTTAAATGTGCATATTTCGGAAACTACAGCTATACAGAATGCAAGTTTCAGAAAATACCGTAACTACCGCCATACTATACAAAACCAAGTATAACCAAAACAAAGAAATTTCCAGGAAATTTTGGAAATTACCTTCACACAAGAAAACCAATTTCCTGGAAATTTCCGTAATTACTCATACTATACAAGAAAAATCACCAGATAATTTCCGTAAATCCAAACTTTACACACGGAAATTTATCAGTAATTACGGAAAATATGAACACACGCAAACGAAATTACGAGGGAATTTGTAAAATTAACTATTTGCCGCGAAGAACTTCATATGGAAAATTCTTAGAAATGGCGGTAATTACTAGGAAATTTCTCCAAATTCTAAAATTACATCATACACATACAATAAGGTAGATATCGATTTAAAGAACCCTACCC